CAGGGTTCGGAGGAGCAGACTAAGTCTCTTGGCCTCTCAATAAACTGTTGCAAGTCTGAGCAGACTTAAGTCCTCCCGCTGCAGTGAGCGGTGATGTAATTACATTGCTGCTCATATATTAGAACTGCTACACGACCGGTAGCCCTGGGGAAGGGTTGGGGCATAGCCGCCACAGGTCCATGAACAGGAAGGAAGTGAATGTGACCCCTGAAAAGCAGAGGATGAAAGAAGAATTACTCAGCGGCTGCTGCAGTAGATGAAACCATGGGTGCAGGCTGAGGAAAGGTACGAGATGTCATTTCCTAACGTGCATTCACATTTCTGAATGGAGTTCTCCTTTAATCATTACAGTGTATAAAAACGAATTCAGTTTTTGAATGAATCTGTTTTCTTAAACACGTCTGGATTCCGGCTCTAATGGCTGTCCCACCGCGCTGTGCCTCTGACTGTTCTGAGCTGGGTCAGCGTAACTCATGACTCCTCTCGTGTTTTAATTCCTTCTGACGCTGCCAGAGTGACCTGGCATCATGCAAAGCATTAAAATAACCAGGTTGAATGTCCCCAGGAAACTGCCCCCCCCTGTGGTTTGGCCCGCTGACGGAAGAGCACTGAACGACCCCATTATCGAGGAGGGGGGGCCCTGGAGATAGAGCGCGGCATTCGTGCCGCACCGGCAGGAAATACCGCTTAGTGCAGTATTAAGGTAAATGGTGGTGTTTACTTAGCGGGAGTTTGTTAACTGCCCCCGCGTACGGAGTGTGTAATATTTCTGTAAGTACCAGCTCTCCGGATACACATAATGAGGCCGGGATTTCTAACACAGTTATACTTAATGGCACTTAATGATACCTGGGAAATTTTAACCCACTGTGACCTTCCGGGCTGGAACATAATCCTGTAACTAATGTTATGTCACACACAAGCACTTCACGGCGTGCCAGGCCTGTGATATCAGATATATATAGCATGCATGTTCCAGGGCTGTCATCCTTTCTTTACTTTTACTGGGAAATTTTAACCCACTGTGACCTTCCGGGCTGGAACATAATCCTGTAACTAATGTTATGTCACACACAAGCACTTCACGGCGTGCCAGGCCTGTGATATCAGATATATATATATATCTGATATCACAGGCCTGGCACGCCGTGAAGTGCTTGTGTGTATATAATATATGTTATGTAACTAATGTTATGTCACACACAAGCACTTCACGGCGTGCCAGGCCTGTGATATCAGATATATATATATATCTGATATCACAGGCCTGGCACGCCGTGAAGTGCTTGTGTGTATATAATATATGTTATGTAACTAATGTTATGTCACACACAAGCACTTCACGGCGTGCCAGGCCTGTGATATCAGATATATATATATATCTGATATCACAGGCCTGGCACGCCGTGAAGTGCTTGTGTGTATATAATATATGTTATGTAACTAATGTTATGTCACACACAAGCACTTCACGGCGTGCCAGGCCTGTGATATCAGATATATATATATATCTGATATCACAGGCCTGGCACGCCGTGAAGTGCTTGTGTGTATATAATATATGTTATGTAACTAATGTTATGTCACACACAAGCACTTCACGGCGTGCCAGGCCTGTGATATCAGATATATATAGCATGCATGTTCCAGGGCTGTCATCCTTTCTTTTCTTTTTAAACCAGCTGAATACATTCCTGACGTGTCACAACATACAGCAACAGGATCAAGTCCCAGCTTCTCCTCTCCAGTTATGACATCAGCATTGTAATAGGAATTAGGGATGCAGCGATACTGATACTAGTATCGGTGCCGATGCCGAGTATTTAGGCAAGTACTCCGATGCCTGGCCCGATACTTCCGGTATCAGGAAGCCGGGCAGAGAGTCATTACACGCTGCCCGGCTTCCTGATTGGCCAGGAAGCCAGCTCCATGCAAGTGACGAGGGTGCATGGAGCCAGCTTCCCGGCCAATCAGGAAGCCGGGCGCTGCGTCATTACACGGAGCCCTGGATTCCTGATTGGCCAGAAAGCCGGCTCCATGCACCCTCGTCACCTGGTGAAGAGAAAGCATGTGGACAGCTTCCCTGCTAATCAGGAAGCCGGGTGGCGAGTCATTACACACCGCCTGGCTTCCTTAATGGGACTTCCGGTATCGGTGCATCCCTAATAGGAATACATAGTAGAGTTGTCTCTGATAATACAATCAAAGCTTACTTTAAAAAAATCCCTTTTATTCAGTGAGCGCCGCCTTCCGTCTGCCAACAACTTCCCGTCTCTTTCCCCGCTGCTGGATGTGATGCAATCTCCATTTCTTAAGACTACATAACCCATCATGCATTGCTTCCAGCCAGCAATGACGATGTTACATTGTTTAGAGTAGGGATGCACCGATACCGTTTTATTGGATTATCTTTCAAGGCTCGCCGATACCGAATACCGATACTGGTACTTCTGGGAGCATGGAGCCGGCTTCCCGGCCAATCAAGAAGCCGGGAGGCGAGTCATTACCCTCCGCCCGGCTTCCTGATTGGCTTGGGAAGCCAGCTGCATGCTGTTTGGCCGGCTCAATGCTGATTTGCCGGAAAGCCAGCTCCATGTTCCCTCGTGGGACAGCCGGTCAGAGAAAATCTTCCTCTGACCAGAAGTTCCGGTATCAGGGGGGAAAGTATCGGAGCACATTGTCAGGGGGGCGCTTTGGGTGGACTGAACCTGCGTTCTTTAAAAGAAAATGTTTTATCCATTCCACGCATCACGCTGTTTGCTGAACACATTCATTCTATACAGAATGTCAAGTTGAGCTGAAAAAAAAGAAACATTACAAATGAGGAAATTAACTTACAAAGGCAGATGGCAGGAAGAGGACTCCCAGTTCATAGGAGCGGATAAACAGCTGGGCGCCGCTCTTCTCCAGGGAACCCCACGCCGCCTTCGACAGATTCGCACTAAAAAAAAAAAAAAAAAAAAG